TAATTTCTCAAAAAGTCTTACTGTGCCCCAGAAGAAAAAACAAATGTTCTCTCATCTTGTGTTGGTACAGAAGTCGATCGCCCCAATTTCTCTTATAACTGCTGCCCCAAGGATGCAGGAGGCATTCGCAGACTTTTGACCAGAATCCTGGAGACAGCTGCCCGTCCTCAGGAGGCGCGTCCCTGGCTGCTGCTGTGGCAGAGAGCCCTCCCTTCCCTGACAGCTGCACACCACCTGGGCTCTCTGGGGTCTGCTGGCAGCCCCTTGGTGGTGGCCAGGGGCTGGGAAGAACTTTCATGCCAATCTCTTGCTACCTAGTTGAGTAGGGAGGAGGCAGCCAGCAAGATGGGATCCTGGGCTGGCCACAGTCAGGTGACCCAAACATGAGAGCTGCCCACAGTTCCAGGCTGCAGGTGGGATGTTGGCAGGGAGACCACTGCAGCCAAGGCCCTCCCAGGCTTCCCCACGCCACGCTTCCCAGGGAGCTCCCCCGTGCCTGTCAGTTAGCCCCGGAGTATACTGATGCTTCTTATCTGGCAGGGGAGGTAGACAGCAAAGCCTGCACTTCTGCACATCCCCTCTGCTAGACTGGATTGAAAGTGATGTCACTGTATAACTTTGAATTAAAGATTACGCGCTGTGTGGGTGAGGCGACCTTAACTTTAACATGTTAATGATGTTTCTATTTTTAAGTCGGTACCCAGGATGATAGTTTAACACAGGTTTTGCCCTTTAATTGTAAAGGATTTGAGGTTGCCAGCTACTTGGTGACAGTGGCACTAACGGGGTAGGTACTGACGCATTGTTCAAGAGGAAACTGAATTACGAGGTGTCTCATACCTAAAGCCTCATGTTTCCCCCCTCGGTTGTCTATATGGAAGCGCAGGGCTCATTTTTCTTGCCTGCCTACCTGTCATCCATCTCTACAAAATATTTGTTGATTAAATGAGAAAGATGGGTGGGCCTGGGCTCATTGTGGCACCTGATCTAGCACCTGGTGGGTGCTCAGTGCCTAGCTCTGGTGGGGGAATCGATAAATCCAACAGGTGGGTCCACATGGGAGCTTATCCTATAACCCAGGACACTGCCGCCATGCTCAGTCTGCTACCAAATAGACGCTTTCGTTGGCCACATTAAATGTTAGGTTTTCCAAATTGCAGGACTTCGCCCCAAACTTAATTTCCACAAGGAATAAGATGAGAAAGACAAAGGGTATATCTAACAGAAAGAAATAGGTCTCTTGAGTTTACAATTTGGTTTTCTCTTCTTTTAAATTGATTTACAGTTGTATATAAATAAATTTATGTTTATATAAATAGGGGTTTCTGGACACTGGAACTTCATGATGCTGAGTGTGGGGAGGGCAGGAAGCAGATGCTTCATGTTATCCCCAAGGAATGAAGAGCTCTGGGAATACGTCACAGTATATGCATCCTGATGAGAAGGCTCTGCCAGGTGGAAGCCGGTTTTTTGTAGGATATATTTACTCCTGTTAGCAGCCCATGCTCAGGATGTGGGTGGAATGTAAGTGGGGCTATGTAGGCATTTCTCTCCAGGACAGGATGCCTGTTTAAATCAGCTTTGTAAGTAAGCATTCGGATCTTACCAGCTTACACCCTTTTTATAGCTAATCTTCCATCCTTCCAGAATGTACTTTTTCCTTATTTATTTCTCCTCTAGAAAGAACACTCAGGCCTGCTCCTTTTGCAGGAATGCAGGTTCTGGTGAAGTTTAGACTCTTGGAACTGGGTCGGCAGCCATGGGCACTGTGGAGTTTGCCTCTCCCCGTGCCTTGTCAGTCTCCAGGACAGCTCTGGAACATTGCTGGTCACCACAGGGCCTCTGCATATGCCTCTGTGAAATTTGGGTGGTGGACTGTCCTGAAATTTTCTGTCTTGGCAGATATCAGAAATTGTCCAGAGCTGCCTCTTGGGTCCCAAGAGTTGGTTCCTGTGGCCAACCTGCCCAAGATCATGCCTCAGAGGAGCCCAGCAAAGCTCCCTGAAGCTGAGGGCAATGAAGATGTTAGGGGAGCCTCGTGGGTTGTAGCTCAGCCTTTGTCCTAGGTGTGCTGGGTTCTGACAGGAATGGTCTCAAATCTGTTCCCAGGTAAATGCCCCACCTTTTCTCCTGCTTGCTTGAAGCATGCGGTTTCAGAACCTGAATGAGTGTCTCTCTCTGTAAGAAACAGTGGCTCAGGGAGTTTCCTACATTTTAGTTTCAAAGTTTTGTGCATAAACTCGATGAATGACTCAGAATTTGCCTGGCACCTGCTGTGACATCTCCCGTGCTATTTTCACTAGCGTCCATCTGGCACCGCAGGCTCCCAAGCTCCTTATGCCCTCGCCATGCCTGACTCTTCATGGGGCTCAAGGTCTCGCTCCCCTTGGTATCTCCAGCCTTTGGTGCCTGCTGGTGACATAGTGGGTGCCACAGCAATCTCCATCAGGAATGAATGCGTGTGTGGACTGTGCCATGGTTCCTGGGCTTGGTGAGCTCTTTGGAAATGCCAAGCTCCTTGTTTGTAAGGTAAAGGCAGCCATATTGCAGGTCAGGTTCCATAACCTAGGTGATGTGCTTTGCACCGGCTGACGTGGCAGTCTCCTGCTTTCCTCAGATTCCCTGTGGAGACAGGTAGCTCCTTTTCTGTGTCACTTAATAGGTGACAAAGAGGAGACCCATGGCATCTGCCTCCTCAAACTCTCTGCCTCCACTCACTTTCTTGCTATTCCTCTAGTCTGTGTCCACTTGGATCCTGTCCCATGTACCTGCAGCATTTCTGTGACTTTCCCATCTGTCCGTCTGCAAGATCTTGCCGCCCCGGGCTGCCTCCCCTCCCTGCCCCAATCTCTGCTGCAGCCACACTCAAGCTCCTGGTCCTGCCTGCTCTCCGCTGTCCATCTTCACCCAGCTGTGTCCACTCCTAGAGCCCCTGTCCCCTGTCTTAAAGTCATCTTCCCCTTTAAGACAGATCCCCCAGATTTAAAGATTTCATTCAGGAGTCCCCTTTTGGTGATGTCTTCTAAGGCCCAGGGAGAAGGACTCTCTTGCCCAGCATCCCCACTCATCCCTGTTCAGACTGCTAATGTCATCTGTGATGCTCTGTCATGCTCATGCCCCTCCCCCCCGCCCCCACCAGCCACCTCTCCCAGAAGCAGACTTGAGGACTGTCTGTCTGACTTTTGTATCCCCAGCACCTGCTTCAGTGCCTAGAGAAACAGGTAGTGCTCAAGAAGTGTGGCTTGAATGGATGGATGGATAGAAAGATGCATTTGTGCTGATCCCACGGGAAGGAGGACTGTTTTCCTCCTGGGAAGGGTCTAGTTGGTCTCCCATGAGAGCATGGTGACTGCAGTAGAGGCGCGCTGGCTGGTCACTTTGGAGGGCCTTGGTTACCCGCTTTGGTCTGCTTGCCTCTGCAGTGTGGCATCGAGGCCAGGACCGCTCAGCCTTTGTGATGAGCTCTGCCTTATCTAGACTAACTTAGCTCTACCCTAACATCACTCAAGTGCGACTCGGATTATCTGGTCTTTTTATGGGTGGGATCAGGGCATTGGAAGAGGCAAAGGGAAGAAGAAATTGGAGCTGCAGAACTGTGTAGCTCATTAAGATGCGTTCTGGACACGCCCACCCCCATCTTATAAGTAAGTGCCTGTAGAGTGACGGTAATGTCAGTGCGGATAGGGCAGTATCACCCCTACCCATCTGTTGTCCACCTCCTAGGGCTCTCAGGCCTTCTTAACGTCTTCCAGAGACCACACTGCCTGCCTCAGGCATGCTGGACACTTTCTTTACAAGTTTGTCCATGTCTTTTGGGCTCCAGCAACTGGTTGGCTTCCTGCTTAGCTGCCTGGAATCAGAAGCCTTCCGGTTTCCCCTAGGTGATGGCACTGCCTGTCAAATGCCAACACTGGAAGGAAAGCCTCTGCTGTGTTGTGTAGAGGCCGGTCTTTCCACCTCTGTTGAATTCGTTAACTCGAGAACAGAGGAGAGGTGGGTGTGTGTAGCTGTAGCCTGGGAAGCCGTGTGCTCTACCTACTGCTAATTATCCCTTTACCTTTCCTCTAGACGTTAACAGGATATGGTCTAATATTTTCAATTTAGGGTGAAATCATGGTTGATGCCTGAAAAAATTATTCTTTCAGGTGAGCAAGAAATGGATTGCAATGTGCCTATGATATTACACTTTTAGTTTTCTAAGAGATTTCTGGTAATTTTGCCCTCACTTAGCCAAAAATAGAGGCATACCAACAGAGGTCACTGCTGATGGGTTCTTTATCCAAATAAATTGTGTAAGATCAGAGCGTTTGCACAGCAATGGGAAGAGTGATGGGGCACCTTTGACCAAAACAGGCAGAAGATGCTGCTTCCTCAGTGAGGGGCCAGCTGTGTGCGTGCTCAGACCTCAGGGTTGTGAAGGACTGCTGCCAGCGTCCCTCTAGGATGCGGGCAGTGTTCTTTCTCTGAGCTAGTCTACTCTGTCTGGCTGCAGGTGGCCAAAGTCATGTATGTCTTTGTCACTTTCCCCTGCAGATTTCAGCAATGTTCCCGACATCCCCACGGGCCTGAAGAGGAGTCAGACAGATGGCACCCTGGACCAGGCGTCCCACAGGGAGAAGATGGAGCAGACGTTCAGGGTAAGCTGCCCCAATCACAAACCGAGAGCCAGGCAGGCCGCGGTGAACGCCCACCTCCACCTGAGATGGGAAAAGGCGAGGTAGACTCATCCTGTCCCTGGTACAAACGTTTTTTTTCCCTTAAAGAATATATTTTCTTTTTATTTTTTTAAGTTTAAGTACAAATGGGAGCCCTTATCTTTAAACAGAACTTTGGCATGATATTGAAGGGAGCAGCGAATGGTACCATCCCTACATTATGATGGTTTTGCTTAGCTATTTTGACAAGGAAGTCCTAAACTCAGGTGTCCCGAAAGCCATGTTAAATTACTATTCTGTTCCTTTCTACATTCCCCCCACCCCCCGCACCCCCCTCATCTCTCCTCCACCCACCTTGGTGGGAGGGTCAAAGGTAAGCCATTTTTGGAATGCTTTCGTATTGTTGTTTTGATAAAAACTACATAAAATGAAATGTGTCACTGTCACCATTTTCAAGCATACACTTCAGTGGCCTTCAGCATATTCACTTTTACAACATCTTCATCATCCATCTCTTAATCTGCACAGAAACTCTGCCCAATAGCGAGTCGATCTTACCCCGCCCCCTTGGTAACCTCTGTCATACCTTCTCTCATTTGCCAATTCTAGGTACCTCATAGATTAGTGGAATGATGCGATGATATTTGTCCTTTTTCCTGATATTTATTTCACTGCATCTGAGTTCACCCATGTTTTAGCCTGTGTCAGATTTTCATTCCTATGAAGACTGAATAATATCCCACTGCTTGTATAGCTCACATTTTGTTTGCCCACTCATCTCTTGATAGGTGCCTGGGTTGGTGCTGTCATTTGGTTATCGGTGAGCAAGGCTGTGGCGGATGGTGGTGCATAAACGTCTGCTGAAATGCTTGTTTTCCATTATTTCGGTCATACACCCAGAAGTGGAATTGCTTGATTGGAGGCCATTCTGCTGAGCTCTGAGGAATAGCCCCGCTGGTCCCCACAGCTCTGCCCCCTCTTACCACCCCACCAGCCACTTACCAGGGGTCCAGTTTATTCAGTGTCCCCAGTGGCTCTTGTTACAGTCCCTTCTTTTCCTGCAGGTTTAACTGTTTGTAGTTGGCTACCTTCAAAAGGGGTCTGACATGATGTATCTTAAAATCCAGTCTTGATTTTGAAATTATAACTGTTTTGTATTAGTTGCTTTTCTCTTAAATACGAAATATGAATGGAGGAAATATGAGCAGCAATAGGTATGCTAGTCGGCTTCGCATCACTGACCAAAATACCTGACCAGAAAAATTTAGGAGGAGGAAAAGTTTATTTTGGCACACAGATTCAGATGTGTAGACCAAGGTGAGGCAGAACATCGTGGGGGAAGGGTGTGGTGGAGGAGACCCACCACACCATTCATGGTGGCCAGGAAGCAGAAAGAGGGAGGGAAAGGGGGCTGGCCACAGGGAAAGTGAACCCTTCCATCCCACACCCCCCAGTGACCCACCTCCTTCAGCCACGCCCCACCTGCCTGCAGTTACCACCAGTCAGTCCACTCAAAGTAGGGTGAACCGCCTCACCTCTGAACATTCCTGCATCAACATCTAAACCATAACAGCAGGAATTTAAATAAAAGCTAAAGTGGGACTGCATGCCATTCGGGTTTAGACCAACTCCAGGTGCCAGCCCCTTGGTAGCAGTCTCCACATGGTTGAGCCATGTGGCATGCCCTTTAATGATGTCCACTATGAAGGGCACATCAGGTGAGAGCCTGCACCTTCAGAGTGGTCACTCCCTGGTGTCCAGCCTCCCACCTCCTCCCTTCCCTTCCCCTTTCCTCCATTCCCTGCCTGCCTCCTGCCATAGCTCTCTACCCTTCCCTGCCAGTTCCTCAGGGTCTGCTCATGGCCCCAGGATGAACAATTTCTTCTCCTAAACTGAAGTCCATCAGCATTTTTAGTATTATTCCTGTTCTCTCTCTGGTGGGTTATTTGCTTTTAGAAACAATATTATAGCAAATATTCATCAGTATTTTTTTATGAAGCAGTTGCTCCTAGAGCATGAAATAGATAAGTTTCTTTGCCTTATTATTATTATTTTTTTAAGAAAGCAAACATTCCTGAAACACTCATGAAGTGAGGTGCTCTATTTAAAGCAAGTGTGCCCAGGAGGCACGGGCACAGCATGGCAGTTGGGGGAAATCACTTAGCGCCATCAAGGATAATGATTTTCTCTCTGTGATAATCTGCTTGAGTTACACTTTGAAGTTCTTAAGAAGGAAATTAATTCCCCACCCCAAATTTGTTGTATTTTAAGATTCAATAAAATAGATATGTGGAAAGTGAGCATGTCAAGGCTATTTCCAACTATTCAATGACAGTGGTTGCGGAAGATATAGCAGTTATAAAGTCAACCTAGGAGCATCAGTTAGGAATTTAGAAGAGCGGTGAAAGCTGTGGTCAGGTTGGAATTGGGGTGATCTGAGCTCTCCATTGTTACTCATGGTGAAGGGAGAATGCAAATACATGCATTCATGCATGCCTTTATACCTACCAAAGAACACAGGAGAGAGAACCTATTGAAGGAGAATACCAGTTAACTATCCCCTATCCAGAATTCCAGACACCAAAAGAATTTGAATTTCAGACTTATTTCAAATTTTAAATATTTGCACTGTATGTTTGAGGCATCTTGGGGCTGGGACCCAGTTCTAAACGTGAAATTCTTCTGTTTCATATGCACCTTATACACAGTTGCTGGAGGTGATTTTATGCCGTGTTTTTAGGGTGCTTATGTTTTGACTGCACCCCCCACATGAAATCATTTGTGTGGTTTTCCACTCGGGGTATCACGTCGGGTGCACAAAACATTTTGGATTTTGTAGCATTTTTGATGTTAGATTTTTGGATTGGGAACACTCAGCCTGTGTGAATAGGTTAATCATTTGCTGCAAAATTCCTCTCAAGTGTATGGTAATCACCTTCCTGAATTTTCAAATATTAACATACTTAGGGAAATGCTGAGTGGGTTGATGTGTTCCTTGTTTCTTGGGGAAAAAGAATCAAATGGCACCAATAATAATAATTGAGATGGATATAATGAAAAGTATGTTTCAAATTTAATGATAAAATATGTTCTTCTACACCTTTCTAACCTCCTAGAAACATTGTTGTGTCTGAAAGCAGTCGTCTTCTGTTTAAAATGGTGGCTGGGATTTGTCTTGATGCCCAATGTCAGGAGGCCCCCAGGCACTGTCCTCTATAAGGTGCCCGCAGGACAGGGTCGCTCTTAAGGAGAAGTCCTGCCCCTGCTCTCTGGTTCTTCTCGGGGTCATTAACTTCTTTTCAGATTAGACTCTGGTTGAACCTGGGCCATTTGGGATATTTTACTAACAAGTATTCTAGACTCGATAATAAGGAATAATTTCCATTGAAAATCAAACGAAGCCTGGCTTGATGAAGCACAGCTGTAACCGGGGCTTTTGACAGCCCAGCAATTTCTGCAAATGGTTCATAATTGATTGCCTTCTCTCTCCTTAAGGGTGCCTATTACTGTCACCGCTCTTTGTGTGACCCTGTCAGCCTCTCCTGGGTGGGGGATCTCCCCCCCCCCCAGTATTGTTAGCAATTAGCATGTGCAATTGTAATAGTTGGGAGTTTGAAAGGAATAAACAACTTTTCTTCAGGCGAGGGGGTTGAAAGGGTTTTGGGTTTGTCGTGGGAATTCAAGGTGTGTGAAGCGGTCCCCCCACGGACTTGGCGCTGGCTCTGAAGACGTAGCACTTGGTGGCTCTGCCGTCTCCACGTCTGCCATAACCTGGTACCTCTCCAGGCAGGCAGGCTCACAGAGTGGGGTGGGCATCTAGAGGAAGAGGGTGAGCCTTCCCCAGTCACTGCTTTGGCTGCTTTGGAGGAAGAGGGCGGTGGTGCTAGGATGTCCTCGTGGATGTGACTGGGAGGAACAGTTTGGGATTTTTTTCATTTCATTGCCTGGGGATGAGAGTGGGAGAGGACGTGCCTCACACGTCTCCCTGCAGCCGACTTGGATGTGATCCTTTCTCTCAGAGGGAGCAGTTTCCTTTGAACTTCTCTCTTTTATGTACAGCATGTAAGTAAATGAGGGTGTGGATTTTCTTGGGTGTAGATTCTGATCCAAATGTGGGCATGCTTAAATGATTTTCTTCGTTGAAAGTTGATTTTACTCGAAAAATGTCTCAGGCTATTATGCAGATGAGAAGATACTGTTTTCCTTCCACAAGGTATTCCGGCAGTAATCTCTGAGATCTCTCGATGGCTGAGGGTACGAGAACTTTCTTTGTACACTAGTTCTGTGGCATGGTCAACTTTTCCCCTTCTCAGGTCTTTAAATTGATCTCAGAAATTGTTTTGTCAGAGACAGATTATCAGAAAAGACTAGGAACATATTTACTCTGTATAATGTGTTTGAAAAGAGAGAAAGGAAGAATTCACTTACAGCAAATAATTTTCTGCTTGTAAAATCTGGGAGCATAGCCCACACTTGCACTGGGCGTAATGCTGTGAAAGAAAATCCGCAAAGATGAAGCCCGTTTTCTACAAGGTAAGCAGAGTTTTTCATTTAGTTCTTCCCGATTAAATAATTTTGCAGCTTTTTAGAAGAATTTTATGTAATCACCTCGTGTAGCTTTGGCAGTGATTATTTTTGCAGTTTGTAGGCGGTGTGTTGATAGAACAGAGCATTGAGAATCTGGAGATATACAGCATGACAACCGTGTGTTGTGCTCTTTGCAAGTTAATCATGTTTAAGTTATATTTTGTCCTGTTTATTTTTTCAAGGTAGAAGAAAAGAATGCACGCTAATGGTTAGGTTTTTTGTACACAGTGTGAACATAACTTGCATTTAATATTTAACTCCTGCCCACCCACTTAGCCCAACCTTTTCAGGCTTTTACATGAATTACTTGGAAGGGCTTGCATATATAAGAAGCTAAAAGAATAGGAAAAGATCATTGGACTACATGGTTAGTTTTCCAGCACTTCCATGTATGTACCTTTCTTTGAGTTTCCTGCATTATTTCATGGTTTTCTGGGGTGTAAGATGTTTCTTGTTAAAAAGGCAAACTAAAAACATAATTTATTTATAAATGGTAGTCTTTCTACATGACTGTCCATTGATAGATTAATATCATCATCTTTAGTTTCTTAAAACTATTCACATCTATTTCTGAATGCCAGTTATCGGATCTAATTCCTATTTGAATGGATGGGGAGAACATTCTCTGAGCAAATGCTTTGCTCCTGAAAGATGACTTGGGGTGTGATGCCCTCTGGTAGCGTGACCATCTTGCTTGATGATGTAATCCCAGGCAGTCTTTCTTTGCAGGCCGTAGTGTTTTGGGGAGGTCTTGAGTCTGGTTGGAAACCTGAATTTGTCTGCCTGGATTTACCACTGTGTGACCGGTCAAGTGACCCGGCTTTTAGGTGATGAAGTTGTAAGTTACCGTCTCCTGAACATCTCCATGTGCCCGTTTTTTGAGTGCCTTCCCCCTCCATTCAGCCAGCGGCCTCTTCACCTGGGAGATTCAGTGTCAGATAAGCATGCTAACAGGATGTCACTGAAATGAATCTGACTACATGACTTAAGTGTCTTAGCTGCCACCCGGTCTTCTTGGAGTTAGTGTAAGTGGTCAAATCACCCTGAACTGCCTCATGAGATGAAGAGACTTGGAAGCCAGGGCCTTAGGAATGGGGTCTTTGGCTCTTTGTCATCCGTATGAGGATAAGGCCTGCTGGCTTTTTAGTGAATTTTCCTCCGGTATGGTGGCATGAACTGATGAGCTTTTCTGAAGGGTTGTTGAACATGATTGAGTAACAACTGTGTGTGTGTGTGTGTGAGTTCTGCCTCCTCCTTCGGCAGTGGAGTCCATGACTACTGAGATGCTCAGGAAGCCTGGGGGTGCTGCTGGCCCCTGGGGTCCTGCCCACTCCGCCCCTTGGGGAGGAGGGCTGGGAGGACACAGCCTTGACAAGGAACAATGTCGGGCTGAGTTCTGTATCTGGTGCACCCGTCTGCCATACTTCCTTTTGGAAGGACCTGGTGGCAGGCTTGTGGACCTGCTTAAAGAGTCTGTGCCGGGTTTTCATTGGATTCTGAAGGGCATTTAATCTCATTGTAGTTAGTTGGATTTGTTTTCTCAGCTTCCTACACAGGACATTAATGTCCTATTCTTCTGGGTCTGACCTTGATGTGCCAGGCAGATGCTACCCCTGTGCTGGGTGTGGCAGGACGGGTTGGCATGCGGAGGAAACCAGGAGTCCCGTCCTGCTTTCTATCAAGGATCACATACACACTATATGCACCAGGGTTGCAGATATCACTCATCTATCAAAATGCAAAAAAAAGAAAAAAGAAAGAAAGAAAATTACCCCAAATTCCAGTACAGGGAGCTGGGGAGGGCCTGGGAGTGAGTGAACAGGGAGCTGGAAGTGTCCGGAGGCCTGAGGACCAGAGTGCTTGAACCAGCAGCTCCTGACTTTTCTTGCTGGCTCTCTAGGGGGCCCGGTGCTCCTTCACCCCCTCCAGCTCCTGAGGCCTCTCGCTGGAGAGCAGGGTGAATGCACCTGACGTGGTGAAGTTGGAAGGATTCTGAAAGGACATTCTGCGCAGGTGGCTGCTTGGAAAGCATTTGGGAGCAGCGAACTCATCCTGGAGAAGGAGGGAACGTCGGCATTTGATGGGAAAGCAGGGGGAAGAAGTCTTGCTCATAACTTTTCTTGCTAGTTATGTAGCTGCCTCTGCCCTGCAATGACGCTGATTCCCTTTGCCAAGTGTGTGGACAGAAGCAAACTAAAGAAAGGGCCAGCAGGCGCCAGACACTTGGGCATTGCCACCCCCTGGATGTTGCCTGATGACTGCTCGCAGTCTTAAAACTCAGACACTCAGGTGGCTTCTCAAAGTCGAGACCTGGGCTAGGGTTGGGTGGACTCTGGGGCTGTGAGTTTGCAAGTCACTGTGGAAAGGTGTGTCCTTTCTGTATTTAATGTGGAGCATGTGGTGTTGGGAAGCAGAGAATCTGAAAGGCAGGGACTCTGGAGCTTGGGGGGCTGGCAGGAAGCCCAGAGCACTGACTCTGGGGGACCTGGTGCTCCTGTACCCGTCCCGGCTTTTCAGACCTCTCATCGGAGCGCGGTGTGAGGCCCTGATGCGGTGAATTTGGAAGGACCCCGAGGTCCTGCATCCCCGCCTTCCCCTTCCCATCCCAGGCCCAGGGTGGGTGCTTTGACAGGACCGTCTCCTCCACCGTCCCCCTCCTTTGTTCATTGCCTCCAGTGTCCCCCTTGTCTTGCTCCAGCCCCTGCTTTCTTAGTCTTCTCCAGACTTTCCCTGTCATCCTGTTTTTCTTGGGGGTGGGGTGGGGGGAGAATCAGTTGTTCCCGAGGATCATCTTCAGGTCACAGAGTGAAGAAGGAGAAAACAAGGGGAAGTTGCAAAGAGACGACCTGGGGAGCCGGTGTGAGTCACCGAGGGGTGGGCTGGAGGATCAGGGCTTGTCAGGTGGAGCCCTGGCTCTGGAATTAAGTCGCTGTCAAGCCAGCCCCAGGCTGAAGGGATAATTACGCCCTCTCCTCCGGGGCTGGAAGGATGACTAACAGGAAAGTGACTGGAGACTCCCCAGAGAGGAGGACACAAGCTTTGACCCGACCCAGCAGAGAAGCACAAATCATGGACAGGGCAATCTCACCCAGTGACTCACGTGCCACATTGATTTCTGATGCAGGGTCCTCCCTGCTCTTTCCTGGGGAGTAGCAAGGACAGTAGTTTCGCTCCCATCCTATCTGAGACGGAGAGGGATGCATTCATCCTTTCTAAGCCTGTCAAAGGTTCAGTTCAGAGAGTAGCCAGCCAGCTCCCTGTACCCAGGAGGAGTGGGGCCTCCAGACTGGGCTCCTGTGACATTCCCCTTTCATGGTGGCACATCTGCATGAGAGTCAAGAAGGGGTTGCACATTCCCTGTGTCCTTCCTCTCCTCCACCCTTCATAGTCCGTGCCCTCGCCCGGTATTTATAATCTCTTTCCTTTCGAGACTTCCTGGGTCAGAGACAGACAATTATGGAAACTTCAGTATAATTTTGCTTCTGGGGAGAGAAGAAAGCAGGGAGTTTGATTTACTTATTTGTTTCCTACCAGGGGTTGAACCCAGAGGCACTTAGCCACTGAACCACATCCCCAGCGCTTTTCACTTTTTATTTTGAGACAAGGTCTCACTAAGTTGCTTAGAGCCTTGCTCAGTTGCTGAGGCTGACTTTGAACTTGTGATCTTCCTGCCTCTCAGCCTCCCAAGCTGCTGGGACTACAGGCATGTGCCAAAGTTTGAATTTTTCAGCCAAATCCTAATCTCGGTATAAATTCCATTTGCATGTTCCCGTATATTCTTAGGGGAAGCCATCTGGACAGAGGGTGGACGCAGGGAGAGCACATGGGTTTTGGCTCTAAGTCTTACACTGATAATCACTTTGTGGTCCTTGGATAAACCATCACACCTCTAGTGGGTCAGCTCCTCTGCCTTGCTCTGATGCCTTTTCCTGTCTGTCTTCTGCCCAGACACCTGATCTAATGCAGTGTTTTCCTTGATGTTAGTTTTTTTTTTTTTAATTTTAATTTTTTAGGTGGACACAATATCTATATTTATGTGGTGCTGAGAGTCGAACCCAGTGCCTCAGGCATGCTGGGCGAGCGCTGTACCACTGAGCCACAACCCCAGCCCCTTGTTTTTCTTTTTAGTATTTTTACAGTTGTAGATGGACACAATACCTTTATTTTATTTATTTATTTTTATGTGGTGCTTAGCATCGAACCCAGTGCCTTACACGTGCTAGGCAAGCGCTCTATCACTGAGACACAGTCCCGACCCCTTAATGTTACTTTTTGTCCTCAAAAAGAAGGAAAGCTGCTTAGAAGAAAGAAAAAAAAAACTTACCCTATTAAAATAGCACTGATCATCTATTGTTCTTCATGCAGTTCACCAAAGTTGAAACCCCTGAGGTTTGTGCAGTTGTTTTTTTTTTTTTGGGGGTGGGGGGTACTGGGGATTGAACTCAAGGGTGCTTAACCATCTCCAGCCCTTCTCT